GCATTTGCTCATTCTTAACGAAATGACCGGCCGTGCATCATGCACGGTCATAAAGTCGACAGAACAAAAGAAAAACTAAAGCAGAACTTCGTCTGCAGGAGAATTCATTTTGTTTGGTTTTTTTGCCAAGTTCAGTTGCATGCCTGTTTAATAGAGCAAAGCATATTTCAAGTACCCGGATGCGAATCGATTGATATTGTCCAAAGGTAATCGGAAAATAATTTATTCTCGCATGGCCGCAAGTCACGTTTTAGAGATGACACTTAAAGTTTAAAAAAACCATTGCTCTGAGGCATGTGATTAAAGTAAATAAGCTACACATTGCATCATTTTGCAAATGACAAACAGACAACCACCTGAATGATCGAATGTGCTTTTATCGGTTTCGCTAAATCTATATACGATTTTCATTGTATGTAAATCGAATAAAAAGTCCATTTTTCAACTGGAGCTATAAAAACTAAAACAACAACGAAATATGGCCAGAAGAATTGTCTAGTTTCTTGTCGTGTCTGGTTTGAAATGTGATGGGAAGAAGAGCAAAAAGAACATTCCGCCGACAAAATTCCGAATTCATTCTTTAATAGTTCAACAAAAGAAGAAGAAAAAATGGTGGCCGTGCTAATAAAAAAAACACAACGAAAAAGTAAACGACATTTGTGATATTGAGAAGAAGAATAAAAAAAATATCGTTTATAATCACCCCAAGCGGAATGTCAGTGTGTTTCATCCAAAAATCTAAATTAGTCGATTGCATCGGAAGCAAATGTCGATTTTTGTTTAGAAAAAAAGTAAATTTCAATTTTGGCAAGAGCCCCATTAGCCGAATCACATGCTCAAACAATCAGAATAATTCAGGATTGTCTAATTAAAGTGCTTTTAGAGTGTTCAATGGAACAACAACAAAAATGCCGCAAAATAAAATTGACCGATGGCTAATTAAAGCGCTGAATGATGACATTTTCGCTAATTGGTCGAGGCCTGAAAGCATTCTATGGTGCGATTGTTAAACATTCATTAAATGATGATGGGAAACCACATGCTCTTGTTCATAATGTTAACTTGACTGATTGTTCAAACTTAGTTCCGCATTGTTGCAAGTTTCATTGTGCGATCTTCTCCGAGCAAAATTGTATAAAATTATATGATAATTGTTTGCGTATGAATCGATTGATTCGAAGAAAAACCGAGTGAGGAACAGCAACAAAACACTAACAAGAACGAATCGATAAAAAAAGGACGCGGAAAATCAAAGCGAAGAGAATCTTCAGTTTTATGGATTTGATTGCATCCGTAAGCATTTTTCTGTTTGTTACATGATGATGAGAATGTTGTCGTGCTGCGCAGGAGCTGGTACCTGGTTTGATTCAATCAGTAGAACCTCTACAGACAATAATTATTTTGGTATGCGTAAACATTGCCTTGCGCTTCTTCGTATCCACCTTTGTGTGTGTCTGTGCATGGCAAAAATTTTGTTTACAATGGTGTAAGTACAGTTTGTTGATGCATATGATCCTGTTTAGATTGGCAAAACATTTGTAGCCACGAATGGTATGCACATCCTGGTTCGCCGTCATCACAAAAAAAAACACATCATCATAAAATGAATTTGAGCGTGAAGAAATGAAAAAGGCGAAATAACGAGAGAAAAAAAATGCTCCATTAAACCACAATTGGAATATGTGTAACAATAAACCGAAAATTAAAGCAAAAAAGAGAAGAAAATAAAACAAGGCCATGAATAAAAGAGCTAATGAACAAAACAAAACAAAAACGATGCCGTTCCAATTTGAGAAAAGAATGAGCGAAGCAGAGAAAATAACAAACAAACAGTAGAACTCCCATATCAAATGAGTGGCTGGGAAAAAACGTGAATTTTGCGCTGATTATACACATGCTATTTGCAGAAAGATAGCATAGCTCGTGGAGTTGGCACTTTTGTGATTTTGTGCCAGTGATGGTTCTAGAAAAAGCAGTTAAACGAAAATTAGAACGGGATTTATTGATTCAACAAAAAAAATGGAATTTACGATACATTTTAGAGAAAGGCACTGTTGAATTTAAGGTTCTCAATTCTATTTTTTCTCCCAGCCATGCAAATGTATCAGCTGTAATTTTGTGATGTCATCACGAAGAGACGAACGTTGAGTGTGCGACGTTGGTCACCGGTTATGTTGAGATATTAGCACTCTCATCATTTTGAATAACGTGAAGAAGTAGGCTGCTTTTGTATGTTTTGACTTTCGATTGGCTCGTGTTTGTAATGCGTGTGTTTTCCCCCCATAGAAAATATGTAACTTTTTTTTCTTCTCTCATTGTGATATTCTTTGCGGGATGAATTGCAGGTGATAAACCGGATCATGTAGGCGTTTGCTTCATTTCATTTGGCGGCTTCCTGGCACGCGTGCCAATAGCATCTCTCACACAATTAACTGAATCATAGATTCGCATTTGAATAAATTCCAGACTATGATCGTGAAACAATCAATTGTTTTTCTTTTTTCTTCTTGTTTTTGATGAACATCCTTTAAAAAATGACATACGCTCCGAAATATTACAAACTCTCGCCAAATTGATTTTGGGCAGCCATTTGCGTGAGGGCGCCATGCGATTTATCATCAACACCCGATAAACATCTCTCTGCTTCTCGTAATTAAACTGAGACGTGCCTTCCGACTCGTTTGTGGTGCGAAATTTTTTTCGTCATTCGTTTCGGTCAAAACGGACGATGAACATAAATCTCTCAACACATTATGACAATTAAGCAAATGCCATAAACCAGCTGCTCGCGTATCCGTGTTGTGCGCTTATAAAGAGAAATTAATTCAGATATTTCTTCTTCTTCTTCTTCTTTTTTTTCATTTGGATTGTTCAAGTCGTCTTCTCGTTGATATGATCTGGTATTTTTTTTTCTGCTGGTGTACGTGTGTGTATCTTGATGCTATTGTTGATTTCGGCGAATGTGAACTTTTTCGCCAAATTTGGATAGACTTGGTAGCATGCGTTGGTCGTTTCGGGTTGAACCGTACCAATCGTTCGTCATCTCCACTTGTTCTACGAATTCTGAATATTTCGGCAAATTCCTGTTCGGGGATTTTTTCTCTCTCGTTATCTCTTTCTTTCTCTTTCTCTCTCTTTCTCTCTTTCTCTCTCTCTCTCTCTTTCTCTCTCTCTCTCTCTCTATCTATTTTTTTCATATCGTCGATCAATTAGAACAAAGAACCACTCGCCGATACGTTTTAGTTTGAGCAAGTCAAGCCATCGTACAACACGCGATGACTCTACTCAATTTTAATTTATAACTGATCTCACATAATAACAAGTATCAAATAAGTAACAAATAAAATAAAAACCAATCTGTGTTCATAAATATAGTTCCAAGCACGATAAAAAAAGGTTGTTGAGATCGATTTATTGTTTGGTCATTAACAGAGGACCTCTGCGAAATATCAACGCTTGTATTTGACATTTGCAATAATATTGTTAGCTATTTGGTGTAAAATGCTAATGAAAAACAGAATTGGCGCAAAAGTGTGAACTCGAACTTTTGAAATAAAATTGAAGCACAACAATTATAAATACCAAATATTATCGCCGTTCATTGACATTACGCTTTTGTATGGCTATCCTAGACGTTCAACAATCGCATCATACAAATACTCGATCAACGTGCCAATTGTTACACAGAAAACGTTACAATTCAAAAGAATTAATCAATAAGTGAAATGTTTGATCAGTGATCGACTGAGTTTGAGCACAATTTTTATTTCGTTAGTCTTTAATTTATGTATTTATTCAATTGAATGAACAATGGGTGTCATTTCGATTATTATGCCTGATGCGGCTGATACGAAGGTAAGCTCGATGATGTTTAAATCTCGAAGAAATCAAATGGTTTCACATCTAAATCATATTTATGAAGAAAAAAAACTACATCTATCTTGATACCGTTGTTCAAAGCTATTATTTCAAGCATTAATTTCATGTATTCGAACATAATCAATACGAATAATGATATGATATCGTGGATGTTTAAGCGCTATGGCACTAAAAACCTAATCAATCCATACTTAAATGTGATGCGAGAAAAATCCGCCAGTTCGAAGTTGAGAATTTAATGTGATTTTTTAGATGTTTTTGTTTGATGGAACAAAAGAACGAAACGAAATGGAATAGCCGAAAGACGAAAAACCGTTTGAATTTGCATTCGTATCAAATGCAACTTTCATAATAGCATTGCTTTTTTTACATTTTATAATCATGAATATGTTTTTATTGCTGTCAATAACTATGCCATATTAATTTATTGTGCGTATCAATGTGATACGATCAATGTCAACGGTGATTTTTGTTTTACCTATTGCAAGGTCAATGTCTCGCTTATTCATCGCTAAACAATGTTATAATGACGTCTTTCCTATTCAACATTTGATTGTTATGTATCGAACTTGGCAATTGCTTCCTCGATAATAACACAGATGAAAATGCTCCATTTGCATAACTCAATTCAAATGCATATATGATTCAGGAAAAACAACGAAAGTGATCCAAACCATTCCTGCCATTCAATGGCATTCCACACACCACATCATATGCATATTAGTCGACTATTTATGTTAATGAAGCGATATTAATTTGACTAAAACACACACAAAAACAACACAAGTCACACATCTTCCGATAGTTAAAAAAAAAACAATTCGTTGATAAAACCAATTTCCAAGTCATCTGAAAGGGTATCTATGTTTAGATTTAAAACGACATAACGAAGACACAAATCTTCGAAATCAATTGAAATGTTGATTGAATTATATGATCGCCTTGATATACCACTCAATTAATAAGTGGCGCTAATACCTATGTTGAATAAAAAGGTTTTCACTATCCAGTATACGGAAATACCTAGAATATTTTTACCACTTATATAAACAAATTTTCCGCATTCTCATCAAAATCAAACTAATATCTTTCTCATTTTTTTCCTTTGATTTCATTTGTAGCCGTCAACTCGACCGGAAACCGATTTTACATTGGACGTACCACGTGCGGAGCAGTTACGCATCAAAATGCAGCAAGAGAAGAAATTTCGATGTCGATGTCGTTTCATGCTGGCATTCTTTAGTTTGGCATTCTTTTTGATGACCGTCGTGATATTTAGTTTGATGTTGAGCCGAGGGAAGCGTATGTTTGGCAGCATGGTGACGCTCTGACAAACCATTCGGAGGATAAACTATTTTATTATTTAATTCGATATTGATCTGTTATAAATATCTCCCATAATCAAACCATAGATTTAGAACAAAAACCATTTAGTGTTTGAAGACAAAAAAAAAAGCGAAAAACCGGTGGGAAATTTTTTTTCCCTGCAAAAAAGGCAATATGAAGACGCCAAGCGCATCATCAAAAACTTCAAGTTACTGAACCCTGACACTGGCTCTGAACCGAGAGCCAATGTGACGGGATATTATTACCAAATAGGAACATCATAGTAATTTATAGACGAATCGAAAGGAAAACCAACTTATAAAAATGCATGGCAATATTATTTAATTGATTTAAATTATGAATTCAAATGTTTTTTTTTCTCGTTTAGACTTAAGGAAATACAGACCGGCGCATATTGTGAAAAATGTATGGCATACAAAAAATGTTGACGCCAAGGATTGATTTTTTTTGTAGTAAAAAAAATACCAAGAATTTTATGTTGATTTTGTCTGTGGCTTTGGTAAATTGTGATGCCACTTTTACGAAATACATAGATTATGAGTGCATTTTTACGCGCTAAATTCCAATAAACATTACAGTTTTTTTCAATGATTTTTTTTTACTTTTTAATTAGCCGGGTGTTCTGTCACCCTGAACAAAGCGCATCCAATGAATAATTTTCAATCATTGCTTCCTTATTGCGATTGTATTGTATTTACCATTTTTTTATTTAATTTGTATACGTGTTTTAATTGGTATATTGATTATTTTATATATGAAATCCGCCGAAAAATGTTTACCAGGCAATTTATAGTTACTGCAGAAAAATTCTAATCATTAGGACTATAGATTTAGCGAGAGAGAAATAAAAAGTGTGTGCATTTGTTAGTTTCCGATGAATTATGGCCGGTTCATCGAAACGTAAGGAAAAAAAAGGGTAATCGTTAGTCGTGCTTTGATCGCAAAGCATGGCAAGGAATGTGTGATTTTTTTTAATGGTTTTTTGTATGCTTGTGTGTGCGCTTGTGAACTGAGATAAAGTTAGAAAACAGAAGAAAAAAACCAAGTAGCAAACATTTCATTTAGCAGTAAATTGTAGAAATTAAGAGCAGAAACTGCAATCACTATTGAATAAAATCATTGATTTATTGAATTTTGGCATGAATTATAGCTACGACACAAAAATATACACACAAAAGATAGATAAAATGACAGATAAGAGGGAATGAATGTGCTTTATGTCGATAATAAATTATTAATCTATAAAAATTATCTAAGGAATAAATAATTTCATTCCAAAACTAACTATTCGCTTTTTCATTTGAAATACTATTTACCCGATGATTCACAAATTGTTCTGAAGAATTACAATTTTGACAGAGACGACCCATTCGGTACACACAGAAGAGGAAAAAAACAAACGCTTTCGTGCATTTAAAAGTCCGGTCTGGGTTTCCGCAGACGTATAAACAAACCACTCAATTGATTTGCATTCGAAAAAAAACGGCTTTAAATTAATTGGAAAATAATTTATTCAACACTTTTTGCATGCGATCGGTTTCTGTACAAAAAATAAAATGAACAAGAGAGAGAGAGGGAAGAGAGAAACGGTTAAGACATATTGACAGTCCAAGTGAAGGCATAATCAAAACAAATGGAATGATAGCAGCAGCAGCGTCAGTGTGAGTACTATTTTAAAGAACGTCATCAATATGAGCATATATCGTTTCGTCGCTCGAGTATGTCCAGTGACATTAAATTGCTAATATTAACCACGCCAATTTCCGCTAGTGCCTCTTTCGAATCCGTTTTGCTTTTGATATCGTTTTTCAGTGTTTCCGTGAGCAGTAGCGCATTTCCCAAAGGTAAGACTAATAATTTACAGGCATCATGTATCCTAAAACATAATAAACAGAGAAAAAAAATGAAACGGTGTCTACGGTCAAAACATCACGTAGAACAAAATTCCAAACAATATTCTTGTTTGATCAACTTATTGACATTTATGGTAAAAATTAATCAATGCGTTTTTATCAAATCGAAACCAAATTGTCAAGTTATTCGATTGATTCTCGAAGTTATTTCATAGCGCACGGATATGTTAAAAAGGAAACAGCAAAAGAACCATTTATCCAATTTATGTCTTAGGTCAGAAATCGGTATTAAAAACCACAGTAGATTAAGAAGAAAAAAGCTTACTTTTTGAATAGCAAATCTGGTCGCCTGGCATATTGTCCAAATAATGCAAATAGATTGCGATTCATATCGAAGTCGAATTGGGATGCACCGCCGGTTGAAAATTTCGTATTCATTATCATGCTGTCGATGAAAAAGTCGTCCAATTGATGAGCGATTAATCTCAATGCTATATTGAAGATATTGATCGAAAGTTCAGTTTCGAGGTTATGCAAACTTGTCACCATTAGCTGTTGTTTGGTTGCGCGAATTATGTATGCATATTTTTCGCCCGTTGTTGGTATTCCATTAAGCGTGTCGATTTATAAAATGAAAAGAGATGGAAAACAATGAAATCAAGTGTAATATTATCTTTTTTGTTTTGTTTTGGTTTACGTTGGTATAAAATAAATGAAGCCAAGATAATAATAGAGTGTGAAACAATATTGTCGAACTTTTCGTTGATAATAATAAATGGGTGTTGATCTGGTCACATCTTGTTCTGTGTCTCATCTCACATTTATAAGCGATTTGTTTGGTAGAATAAATCACCAACCGACGACTTCCGAATAGCATTTTGGTACGGAAATTGATTGTCACACCAAAGCTCGTAAAAAGATTAATTGATAAAACTTAAAAATAGAAAGCAAATTAATTTACCTGGAACATTTCGCCAGCTGTTGATGACAACATGAACGGCTCCAATGCATTGTGATCAGACATCGAAATCCAGTTGTCATGACGATAGGCCATTGACTTTGCCTTTATCTCGTCAACCAGCTTCGATGTGAGCTCTTTCACCAAACTTCGTTGCCATTGCTCCAGGTCATCGACCACTTTATCAAACACCGAATTAATTTCGTCAGTGTGCGGACCAAACAAGGCAGCATACAAATGAAGATAATGCTTAAATTGGAGGTAATTTATTTTCAAATTAATTAAGATAAATCATACGATCGAAACGAATATGGAATCTAAGGGAAATGCAAGCCGCATTGTGGCAGGCTCAAAATGTTATCAAACTTGAAATAAATCGATCGATCGACAGCTAAAGGTAGCTAACAAAAAAACTTACCACATTCTCGCCCCATTCGCGGAGCACTGAATTTGTGTAATTGATAGCATTCAAAACCATGGTTGTAGTGACTCCATTATCTGGATTGCTGTGCAATTGAACCAGTCGACGTCGAAAGCTTTCAATCAGTTCGAGCTGCAAATTCAAAAATTGTAACTGATGACCGGGCTGAGGTAAATTACAGTAGCGTTCACAAATTGCATCCAATAAACGGATAAATTGATCGGCACATCGTGGAATTTTTAATTCCTCCAAATTGCTCGGATCAATAAACGACCAGGCTGATGATTGCGATAGAATTGCATCCATTTTGTCGGATGTGACTATGGGGGTGGGGGGGAAATATCAAAAATATACATCTTTGCGAATGCAAAGCGAAAAAATGGTCTTTTCAAATGATGCAACTCACATTGCTCTTCAATAGCCAGCCATTTGGTTAGGTACTTTGCTTGTGTTATCACTGTTATTGCACTGCAATAGCTGCTCGGATATCCAAGTGTATCACGCACTTCTTGTTCAAATGCCAATGTTTCATCGATTAAGTGTGAAAATAGACCATCATTCTCAACGATTTCATCAATGTCACTGCACATTTTCTCGACGGCCAATTGCACAAGACCACGAACAAACTCCAGCTACGGATTTGAAAATACATTAAATTGACATTTTGATGGGTCTTATTTTGGTACGGCTGAGGAGCGGTTTAATTTTCTACCCGAATATTGATGTCCGAATGACCAGCAAGATTCAATGCTGGCTGGATGTGTGTCCCAACAAATATATGATTATCTCTCGCCCAAATCAAAATCTGTGTATAGAACCATTCGGGCTTATCCAGTCGATTAGTTTGCCGTGGACCAGAAAAATGATACAAAAATCTAAATAAAACAGAACATACTTCGTGTATTTATGGACTTTGTAACTAAACTGAATTGATTGTCTTACCTCTGTCGGAATGGTTTCACAAGCAGTCCAACAGGTGTGCTTAGTGGCTGGCATAGAATCGAAGGTGTTATTGATATAAATGAATCGCTTCTTTCATCCGGCGATTGTAACTATTTAGAGAAGAAAAAACACATGAAAGTTCATTCAAACGTCATAAATGAGACCATTTGAATCCAAAACAAAATGCAAACTTGATTCTATTGGACACTTGACCACTTTTTTGAACAATTTACACACCAAAAATAGATATTCAGCTGCAGACATCAATTTATTTAGTGAGTCCTTTGTTGGATTGATTAGTTCCGTTGATGCTGCACCCAAATATGGCCACTTGATAATATTTAGCACCGATTCAAAGTCTCTGAAATGGCAATAGCACAAACACAGTGAAAACTGACATCGATAACAATAACAATAAACAAAATGAATCTGAATAAAAGCCATAAAAATGGAATTCATTTTTTGACTAAACAATAGACAGGTTTAGTAATTCATACACTTACTTTGAGAGTTTTTCTTTCAGTATTTCATACCAATAAATAGCTGTACGTTCTGCATAAGATCTTAGGTTTTGAGCTTCAACATTTTCCAGCCGACCGATAATACTATTCGCTGAATCGTTGCCGCCATAGAGTGATAAATACAAACCGATTGATTTTTGGTCATCCTTAATATGCGTGGATAAACTTTTACTGTAATATAAAATAATGCAAATGAATCATGAATGATCGATTGGTGCTGAAGTGAGTAAAAAATGCACACATTTTCACGTACCTAACTTCTTGTATGTCCTTTAAAATTCTAAAATACTCTACCAAATGCTGTAAACTTCGAATTTTTTCTAATTGCTTGGTAATCCCTTCTAAAATCCCATGATACCGGTCCAATTTTGTCGAAAGTTTCTCTTGGAATTGATCGATTTTGGCGGTTTCCAATTGGATGATTTCGTGCGATTCGCGGCATTGGGCCAACGCCGATTTAATGGTCGACGGTATTCCATTGCCTTCGACCAACAGCTGAATAACGAAAACCAGGGAATAGATTAAATAATAAATTGCGCAAATATAGACAAATACCCCCAAAAAAAACAACAACATCATACTCACCTCGGCTTCAATTTCGCCAACGCGTTTCGCATATTCGCTGATGATATCTTTGCAATGGTATAAATTTTTGATGTCTGTGCCAACGTCTCGATTTATTCGTTCAATCACATTTTTCGCTACATCTTTCATTTTTTCCTACGTTGAAATTCGACTCAAAATGAGCTAATCCAAAACGATTTATATCCACTCAAAATCCAGATGATTCAAATGATTTTGCGATGACTAAAGCACGACACACATGGATTGTGTGTACACGAAATAAAACAAAACAATGGCATAAATGGTGAACTCTGCAACTTTTGACAGATGAAACAAAAAGTCTAAACTCTTTGGTTTATTTAAAACATTGAAAATCGACACTCAAAACTGAAAATTAAGAACGAAAATTCGGTAGGATATATTTATGTTTTGGTGACGTTTAACTTTAGGTACACGGTTTTGTGGGAAAGTATTCAACGTCAGACATTGACATTTAACCGTCAAATCACATGAATATTGCCTCCAACAACACGTTCACATGTCAAATTCGACCGTACTGTCAATGGTGATAGGGTTCAATATTGCATGCCGTTTCTGCTTTATTTTTCAAATCGATTGAACAAACCCTTAAAATACACATTCAAATCTACTCACTCGCTTCAATACCCAGTAAGAAAAAAAAACAGCTCTTCTATTTCACAGTATAAATTAGTTTGGTCCTAGACGTGCATTTTATTCATTTTGTTTTTCATTAATTCGTATTTAGAATGTGTGTGAATGTTTCAATTAAAGTTCAAAATTATTAAATAAATGCTTAACTATCGACAAAATCCATGAAGCTATGTGTAATGATGAAATTGTGGCAGTGCTTATTGCTTTTTGAAACTGAATCTAGCCAATTTTGCGATACCAGATCGCTCATTGTCATCGGTGTTGATTTTCCGCTTGGCACTAAGACCATTCGATATGTTTGCGTCATCGTTGTTGCTCGCACCACTGGGTGTTCCATTTGATTTGCTTGGATATATTTGCTTGTATTTGTTCATTGCGATTTTTGTGAGCACAGCCGGTGTAACATCTGGATTGTCTCTTTCGAATTCGGCTCGGTGTTCATTATAAAATTCCACAAACGGAGGCCGAGTTCCCTGAAATTTGTGTGAATTTTGCAACGCATTAGTTAACTTACATGGAATAAAATGAAAACAATACATACCGTAGCCTTTGGTGTGTTATTTTCTATGTTCAGATTCTCCTTCTCTGTATATTGTGTATCTTGTATACTTTCTGATGTCGATTCAAAGTCCAGATCTGGTGTCTCTTGCGAATCAAATCCAATAGCGGTGTCAGTTAAGTGTTTGAAAGCATTTGATACCGCCTTACCAGCACTGGTCGGTGTCTTCTTGAATGGGTTTCTCTTCAGTTGACTTATTGAGAGTGGTTTCTGTTGTAGAAATCATTCGAAAAGAGAAGTATATTACCATTATTGAAACGGTGTGAAAGGTGCAAAACAACGCAACATACCGGCACAACAGATGGAGTTGAATTCTTTCCTTGATTTGAGCGAATAAGACTTTGTGCAGTTGGCGTGCTCAAGAGTAATTCGCTGGCTGCTTCATTTTCATCATATTTTTCCCGTTCTTTTTCTTGTTCTTCAAATTGTGGCAGAAGTTCACCCAATTTTTCGGCCAGATGAATACGACCCAATTTGCTTGCATACTTAATAGCCAGCGTCAGAAGTGATGGCAGGGCAATCATCTCGATAAGTTCCTTGGCACGTGGCTCGTACTCTGACCGACAGGCAATCTTTGAACGAAAATTGAACGATATTTTTTATTCTAATTTTGTCCAATTCAAAAACGAAATGATGAATTAATGAATAATTTCGGAATGTGTGGTTTGTCCCCCTCTAACTTACCGCGAATAATTTGATGGCGATTTCCTTTATGTTTTTATCCGATTCATCCACATTGAAACTGCTATTACGCACCAATGTTTCTTCGAATTGTGATTGTTCGGCTTCGATATCGCAAACGGGCATTTGCATTTTCAATTCGGAGACCATTGGCTTTGGCGTTGTAAGCGGATACATTGAACCACGGCATAAAATCGCGCAGACAATTTGTGATGATTCCGACACTTCGATGATGAAATGATTGTCTGACGCACCTTTTGAGTGTAGACTGGTGTCACATATGGGAATCCAATGATTCGATCGAATCGAAAACATACGAAGCATTCCCATTGTGTCACATGTCACGGGTGACCCTTTGTCGGAGAAGCCAAGCCAAGTGAGTTTGGAATTTTGTGTTAGTGCAACTTTGAATTCGCGACATCGCAAACTAAGGCCAATCGTTTGAATGAGCATCATTGAAATGTGTTGATCTTCCGTTGCAGCGGAGCTGTGATAGGCCACCACAATGCGATCGTCATGTGTGGCAAGCGCAACAACTGGGCCGGGCAATGATACAATCTCTCGCTGTGTCCCCATTGCACTGAATAAGCGCAAGAATCGTGCATCGGTAGCAACGACAACCAATTTTGTTGAAGCGGCGACACAAAGGATCTCCTCACAATTTGGCATTGACATTGACCATTCGCGACTACCACCAGAACCACCCAAAATGATACACACCAACTTGCTGGGCGTTTCATTACATAGTGCAAGAACTGATGAACTCAAGCTGGCCATTGTGTGATTCAAGTGATTCACCATGTGCAGGCCATGGTGGATGCTCGCATCATGGAATTCAACTTCAATTGAATTCTCGGTGGGAGTTAAGTGAGCGCGCACGATACCAACATGATTCCATACCATATAACGATGTTCCAAATTCTTTGGTGTTTCACCTGGTTGAAATGGCGGTTGCAAGTCATATGTCCTTGCATAATGGCCAGCTGCAGTGTTGCGACCATCGCTTTTTTCATCATTCACATCATTCCCCGTTTTTATCGACGCACCTTCCAGAAATTCGTCGATTTCATCGTCAACCGTTTTCAATTTCATCGTTTCATTTTTTAGCTTTTCCAATGACACACAGTTTTCATTGTCCGTATCCTCTGGATCGTCGGGGAACTCAACTGATTTTCGACAAAATCACAAGAAATACACAATCAATAACAATTAGTTTATGAAAGGTAACCGAAGACGATCAGATGTCAGGCTATACTTACTATCGCCATAATCAATGTCTTCATCCATTCCATTCTCGATTTCATCGCGGTCAATAATGTTGTCATCATGATCCGTAATGCTTTCAATCAATCCAAACTGGCCGGTGTTATCAGTGAATGCAAATTCGCCGTTATTGTTTGGATTCCAATCGATGGCCGTAATACATTGCGCTTCGTTATCACCAAATTTGTCCTCTTCAATTATTTTGTTCGCATCGATGTCCCACACCGAAAACTCACCATTCTCACCGCCAGCCGCTATGTATTTTCCGCATTTTGAATACGAACACACACTGTAATTCGACTTGGTCTGATCGAGATGTGGGAAGAAAGGAGTTTTACAAATGGTCGAACACATATTTCGAATCTGTTGTTATTTGTTTGTTTTTTGCTCCTAATCAGCAATAAACAAAATGAAAAGACAGCAAAAATTGATACCTGTTCATCAGTCAGCGTTTTTTTCACAGCCCAATTTTGTGTGTCAACAATAACAATGTTTTTATTGTGATTGTATGCCATGAATTTACCATTTTTGGGCTCAAAAGATGGTGTAACTGTGTGGTTTTCAAAGAAGAAAGAAAATTATTCATTAAAACCTCAATTTCATCATTTTGTTTTTCAATGCACAAAGTTTTCATCAAAAGCATACCATATACTTGTGTAATCTGATAGCTTTTGATTTTATCGAAGCCAGAAATGGTTTTAATGCACTTTTTCTCCTCTAAATTCCAGATTTTGATGGTTCCATCGCCGGAACTAGACGCTAACAATCCATTTGAGCTGAGGTCAATACGTAAAACAGGGCCCGTATGCTCGGTTAATTCAAAGGGTTCAATGGATTTGTCTCTTGGAGTCACTTTGATGGTCATATCTTCTGAACAAGCGGCCAAATACTGCAGGTGATAATTGAGAAAGTATTCAAATACAAATTTCCTGTGGGTTTTCAGTGATTGTGTGTGGCGAGCATACCTTGGCGCTGACTTTGATGCAAGTCACTGGGGCGGTGAAACGAAATTCGGTGCCATCACGATTGTATTCGGGATATGTGTAGGCTTGTACGGTGTTCAAATCGGTGGATGTGAGGATGCGCTGCTCGTAATAGGCATGATACAAAATGAATTCGCCGACGCATTGTGTGTTGGGATCATCATCATCCACACCGTTCCAAATGCGAATGTCACCATCAGATCCAGTTGTTATCACATGCCTGCGAATGCAAATGATCAATGAATGTTTTAGAACAATATTCGAATGTAGTTACATGGGTCGAATCAGAAAAACATTGCAATTTTTTTTTCTTACTCTCCGTTCTCAGTGTAGCAACAATGTGATTGACCATTCGTGTGTGCGTATCGCAAGCATGATCTTTTGTATGGCATTTTAAAATTCACAATTTATTCTTCCTAGCTCACATAAAAATTACAATAGAAATGTTTGATAAAATACACTTTGAAATTTGATTTCAATTCGATGGAGCGGCACCACAAGAAAAAAAAACAATACGAAACACAATGATTGTCAACTATTGAATGGGAATTCGCGCCAATTTTGTGTGTTCTGTTCGTGTTTTGGGCGAATGTTTGCGATTCGTTTCCAACAGATGCCGTTGCATATGCGAATTCTCGATTAAATAAATCTGAAATTAAATCTTCTATTACAATTTGTTTGATTTTTTTCTATTTTTTTGCATTTTTATCCACAATTCGGAATGTAAATAGTCAATTATCGATTAAAATTTCAAAGAATACAAAATACCTGCATCGCAGGAACAAAATCGGATTAAAATCCCAATGGAAAAACGCCATCTACACGTGAAATTGGAGTAAAAAAAAACAAATAGAAACTGCATAAAATTGAGGGTCGTGTGCGTTGAACGCAACGAGACACGTCTAACTCTATGAACAGAAGCAGTAAATACCACAATACAAACATATTGACGCTAGACGAATACATTTCGCTTAGTATAATTTCCATTTTGACAAGTGTCGAATTGTTTTACTCCAAATTTTTTTAAATTGCATGTCGATTCAAATAGTTTGTCCACTGTCTCGTTTTGTTGGAATTTCACAAGAAGAAAACAATACATCTGAATTTTTTTTATATTTGTAGAATTTTGTAAAAAATAAAAACAATGTCTGGTAAGAATTGTCGATCTACAATCAATTTGTATCCTAGTTACTGTTTTTTTGTTTTCTCTGTATCACTGCCAATGGCATTTGATATTCCGTTTCTTCGAAATCCGTATCTCCAATGCGAATATCTAAAAATAACTTGGAATAATCCTCCATTTTACGCGTAGATTCATTGCAATTTTTTTTTTCGATCTATAGCTGAATGGAACAGTTATTGAATGTTCAAATATAGCGGATGCTTTCTAATCTCGATTGATTTCACCATTTTCCGCAATCTTTCTTTCATATAAGAACCACACTAGTATCAGTGTGTGTATTTTTGTTGTTGTTCATATTTAATTATGATTTCATACTATCACATAATTAATAAACATATTCAGTTCCAATGATTCGTGTGTTATTTGAATTGGGCGGCTTCGGATGAAATGTGTTTTATCAGTAGAATCGTCTATTTGATTATGAAAGATACGAAAAAACAGTGACTCATCACACGATGAGCAGAAGTACCGTTTATTGACCATGTTAATGTAAATGTACAAAATGCATAATTATCGCTCGAAACCTATGAAAAACCAAGTTTATTTCATGTTTTGAAACGTTGGCTTCACTTTTTATCGGAAACAACAAACCGATTTCAATTCTATTTTGAGACGAAAAACAAATTGGTTTTGCTCAGTTTCAAAGTGAAAACCAATAGTAATTTGGAATCCTTTTCTTTTTGTGTCAACTTTTTTTTTATAGACAAACCATATGCACCACCACCAAATATGCAAGTGCCGTATGGCATGGACAGCAAAGCAGCCGGAGCTCAACAACCTCCACAGGCTGCCTATCCACCACAAGCAGGTTTCGCTCCGTACGGATATGCATCGACCAATATGCCTCCACCTCCAGCAGATATGCACGTGCCGATTCATGACACCGATCCAATTGTCAAAGGTTTCCAATTCAACACGGAGACTATTCGTCGGGGGTTCATCCGTAAAGTGTACTCCATTCTATCGGTAAATGAATTGAAGCTGCTTTTGAACGATTCTCTACTAATCTGTCATGGAATAAATTTGGTTTTAGGTACAACTACTTTTCACTTTTCTCGTCGTCATGGCATGCGTTCATCATGATGGTACCAAACATTTTGCGATAAAAAATATTGGATGGCTGTTTCCAGTTACCCTCATCTTAGTGTTCGTTACGATAATCACATTGAGTTGTTGTGAAGGTGTGCGACGTACATCTCCCACCAATATGATCTTTTTATCGCTGTTTACGATCGGTGAATCAATTATGGTCGGAATGGCCACCATAAACTATCCTCCGGACACGGTACATACATGTTTTTCTTTAATTCAATTAAAATGTACATTTCGCTCATTTGCCCACTTTGCACCGAATTGCAATTTTTAGGTAATGATTGCAGTTGGACTTACCGCCGTCGTCGTGATTGCGCTTACAGTGTTTGCTTTCCAAACGAAATGGGACTTTACGATGTTGGGAGGCGTTCTGTTCGCCGCACTTTGGTTGATGATTCTAACCAGTTTTCTGATGATGTTCTGGCGCAATCACGTTGCCGAACTGGTTTTTTCTTCAATTGGTGCTTTGCTCTTCTGTGCTTATTTGATCCGTAAGTTTTACTTCTTCTCTTTTTTACCTTTGTGTCTTGATACAAACTAAAATGAGGGGACGTCATACTCGAAGTGGTTGACACATCCCTATGTAAACCCATACACAGTTTCTTATAATACTGCTTCTTCTTCTTCACACTGTCGTACACAATGGGCGCGACCATATTGAAAATGTATACAGTGTATTGCGTGCCATTTGTGAACATTATAACCAATATGGCGACTTATATGTATAGATGTGTTAGTTAAGAAGGAGAAGCAGTCGCACTGCACCGTTCGCATACGGACGGGTTGACAAATCAAAACTGCCGTTTGACAAGTAACATTTACATTTGAATTTGAATTTCACTCAACAGATGATACTCAATTGATTATGGGTGGTAATCACAAGTTCTCAATGAGCCCTGAGGAATACATACTCGGTGCAATAACGGTATATTATTGTCAATGAATTTATTGGAATTAAATTTAATTTGTATTTTTTTATTGATTTTTTCAGCTATTTTTGGACATCATCAACATTTTCTTGTACATTCTGCGTATTCTGGGTGCAGCTTCGAAAAACTAAACGCTGAAAACTGCAAATATTTCAAAATAAACATACATACATTATGAATCTTCTCCGCTTTTTTCGACGGCTCTTTTTTGTTTTACAACAGAGAAGTTAACAACAACATCAAAAATATTGTAATCAAGCTGAACATTGAAAAATTACTACCTAGTTTTGTTTTGTAAAATTTACATCGACATTTATACTAAAGAGTATGTAAGGAGAAAAAAGTACCATTTTTGTGGCAAAAAACGCCAAATAGCACAGATTTAAAAGAAAGTTCAAAGTAAGGCTCTGTTTTGGTTCATCATTGAGTTGTTGATTGTTATTTGTCATGGGCATCGTTCTCATCCATCTCTTTTAACTCATAATACACGCAAAATGTCGTGTCATTCCGGAAAAGAGGTACTAAGAAACACACAATAACTAAACAATGATGATTAGAAACTGGTACATAGGCACAGGGAAATTTATTCAAAAGGAGAAGAAGAAATAACTTACAAATTTTCCCTATTATACCTCATTGTACACTAAAACTTTACTTTCCGTATTTTATCATTTATTTTTTTTTTGTATTATCTTGATCTTGATCAGCTGAATGTCGTACATAACGAAATTGATTGAACTATTTATATGTTTGATCGAAGAAAGAAAGCTAAAGAAGATGGAAAACTGTCAAGTCATAAGGGAAATGAGCAACAATAAGAAAAATAAATAGTTAGAAAAAATGGTGATGATAACATTGCTGATATTTCGAACAGAACTTCTAGAAATGGAACATGATAATATTGCCGTTGGTTTTTTTTTTTTGATTTGGATTTAGAAATATCGTATAATAAAAACACAGAACAAACGAATAATTAATAAATTCATTTTTTATGTTTTGTGTACTTATTCAAAGTATTGAAATGATTGAATGTTTGTTTGTTTTCGATGGGAAAGAATATTTTTTGTCTCACATTATGAAATTTGTGTTTAAAACTTTTTTTTTTAATCTTAATAAATATGCATATACGACAATGAATGGTTTAATTAAATTGTTTTTGGTGGAAAAATTGGCCGAGAGAATAGGGATAGTGCTCACAAGAGTTGTAAATTTGAAGGAAAGAAAAAAAGTTGCAGCAATTGTGAACTCGAGACTTCAGAATTGAAACATTATATACTCAAATGTCTATATATTTTTATGAACAATTAAGAAATGATTTATGAACTCGATGACACAATAAGTCACATATAGTGAATCCATGCATTCGATCGATTTGTTCTTTCTTTTTCGATCGCACCATTCATTCATTCACTCATTCAACTCGAACGTAATCAAAAAGGATTTACTTTCACTTTCGAGACAGCCGTCTTGTTTCGATTACAATTGGAGTGTTATGACGCGAACGATACGAAACAATGTCGTTGATGACACGCTGTCAAAATCCAAAAAAAGAACTTATCTGAAGCGGTTTGAGGATTTGGTCACTCAAATTACAAATGCAAACAAGTGGTTTATACTTCCTCATTTTTTGCGTCTTATTTTTCTGCTTGAAATTCGCTGGATATATGCATTGACGTTTTATTTTAGTAAAATTCTTCTTCTTATGTACATAAGATGCAATAACTGTAAAATAATTTCTGTGACACATTGACAAATGGCCTGTGTACAACAGAACATACAGTCATGGACTAAATTGAGCGTACGACTGCCAGAAAAATGTAT